CGATGCCCAATGCCTGATGCCCCATGCCTCATGCCCCATGCCTCATGCCCCATGCCTCATGCCCCATACCCCATGCCCGATGCCCAATGCCTGATGCCCCATGCCTCATGCCCCATGCCTCATGCCCCATGCCCCATGCCCCATGCCTCATGCCCCATGCCCCATGCCTCATGCCCCATGCCCCATGCCCCATGCCTCATGCCCCATGCCTCATGCCCCATGCCTCATGCCCCATACCCCATGCCTCATGCCCCATGCCTCATGTCCCATGCCCCATGCCCCATGCCTGATGCCCCATGCCCGCCGCTGACATTGGGGAGAGCATGGGGAATGTGCAGATGCCCAGAAAACCCTGCTGCGGACCTGAGCCAGAGAGACAGACAGATGCTGTGAGACGACACAGCGAGGAACCGCCAGTTCTCCCAGCACGGGGCTTGCTGAGAAAAGGATGGATTAACGGGAGGCCAAACCCCAAGGGGCGCTGATAAGGGACAAAGCAGAGCCAGACTCTCTCCACCATGAACCGAGATTGATCAGCCTTGTGTGTCTGCCTGTCCCCCCAAGGCCCTGGGAGATCCCCCACCCGCTCATATCGGCACTTCAAGGTGCCTTAGAAGGGCGTTTCCCTCCGTGTACCGGCATCTCCACCATGGGCTCTCACGTTATTCGTACTTTATTATGTTATTTTGGTCGGTAACGTTGACTGTAATGAATTTGTATTAAGTGACCAGATGATCTTCATTAGCAGTATACTACTGGTATAGTTTGTAAGACATATCCCAGCAATAAATTTGAAAAAAAAGACACACAAACACACACACATACACACACACAAATATTTTGCAAGTGCAGTTTTGCTAGGGATTGTTGTATGATCACCCCGCTCAGGTATTTGTGAGCAGAGCAGCATGTTTTTAAAGGAGCACCTGTGAGCAGAATGATTGGATGGCTTTTAAAATGCTCACGTAAACCTGTGGATGATGTGTTGCCTGTGTGCTGGTATCACAACCCTGTCCAATGTGCTCGTCACACTTGAATCACGTAATGCTGCCATTCTCTTGTAATTTGCACTCTGTTCATGTAATTAATATTCATTACTTCACAAGCATCTATGAAAAAACCAGAGTCGAGTGTTTATGTTTTTCGTTCATTGTACTCAGAGGTTTGGTTTGTAGGGCGATCAGTCTAAGACATCGCTTTCTCTCGTTGTTCTGTCACGGTTGCATTTATCTGTCGCTATTGCATTGCTCTGACTAGTTGCTTTGTCGTGATTGCACTGCTGCCTCGTCACTTTGTTGCAGCCTCATTGCTCTGTCCCGTTGCTCTGTCTCCATTGCATTGCTCTGTCTCATTTCTCTGTTGCAATCGCATTGCTTTGTCTCATTGTTCTGTCTCATTTCTCTGTTGCGATCGCATTGCTCTGTCTCATTGTTTTGTCTCATTTATCTGTTGCAGCCACATTGCTCTGTCTCCATTGCATTGCTCTGTCTCATTTCTCAGATGTGATCGCATTGCTCTGTCTCATTTCTCTGTTGCGATCGCATTGCTCTGTCTCATTNGTCTCATTTCTCTGTTGCGATCGCATTGCTCTGTCTCATTTCTCTGTTGCGATTGCATTGCTCTGTCTCATTGTTCTGTCTCATTTCTCTGTTGCAATCGCATTGCTCTGTCTCATTGTTCTGTCTCATTTCTCTATTGCAATTGCATTGTTCTGTATCATTTCTCTGTTGCGATTGCATTGTTCTGTCTCATTTCTCTGTTGCTCTCGCATTGCCCTGTCTCATTGCTCTGTCTCATTGCTCTGTCTCATTACCCTGTCACAGTCACTGATATCGTTCAGCGCTGTCCTCTCCTGACTTTGATCTGCTATTACACTAAGGAAGCCGCAGCAGCAAGGTAGAAGCCATACGGTCATGCAAGGGTTTAAGGAAATCGCAAACGAGCGGCTGAACGAGACCTCAGGACCAGAGCGGAGGCAGGAAGCAGGGGTTCAGAGTCAGGGCACCACATGGTGCCAAGACGAGCACAGTGTGATGGGGAGGCGGCATATAGGAGACGAGGGTGGGCAGCAGACAGATGGAGAGACCTGACGAGGCTGCGATGGCAGGCCAGCACCAGCTGTAAAGCTCTGTGTGTGCGTAGGTAATGCAGACTCGCCTCACCTCTGCCCCCTGCAGGATACTTCTTGCGCAGCAGCTCATCACCCATGCAGCGCTCCTTCCAGGGCTGCATGCAGCTGATCCACGTGGACGACCAGCTGGCCGACCTGCACGGAGTGGAGCAAGGCAGGCTGGGGGCTTTTGAGAATGTCAGCCTGGACATGTGCGCCATCATAGACCGGTAAGCCCACGTGCCAAAAGCACGCATGCGGCAGCGGCCAAAAAAAAAGGGTCATATTTGCATGCGGCTGCTTAGCACGTGCGACACATGCATTGTTTGCAGTGAATCCATTTAGACAGCTTGATCTCTTACACAAAGAGGTGTCACAGTTAGGATAATGGTACCGCGGGCAGCGTTGTACTGCAACGTAAATCAATACCCTGTTGGATTTTAGTGGCGTTCCACAAGCCGCAGGCTACCTGCCATATAAACACACCTTGGGCAGGCTGGGATCGGCCGTGCGGACAGTAGTGACCCCCCCCCAGGGCGTTTGATCAGTGGAGACCAGCCTGGCACGGTTCACCGTACGCCACATTCCACTGAGCTCGCTGGGAACCAGCTGCAGATTCCAAGAGGGCAGGGTTTGGGGGCTCCTGAGGGGCGGGGCACTGAATGATGTCAGGGACAGAGTGTTTATGGTTAAAGGAGCCCCCCCAATCCGCATTACCCAGCGGTCTGGTCCTGCTGTCGCCAGCCTTCTTGCATCTATTTTGAACCGGCAGCCTTCCGATCACAGACACAGAGGCGAACCCCGCTGAGCCTCATGCTGCCCCCATGTGTGAGCGAGGCTGAATGCAGAGCACAGGCCCCCAGCTGGTGCTGGGTTTGAACCACTGTAGGCTTTTGCTGTTCCTTTGCTCCAGCTTTTCAGTAGCCAAACAGACCGTGCCATCTCTAATGTGACGTCGAGCGCATGCCTGCACGTGAGTTCTTATCCCACCCGGGGGCCCTGGCCCCCTTCGGCCCCCGCTCTCTGGCTTCCTGCCTCGGAAAGACCCCCGTGGCAAATGGCCGCTGCATGGGATCCATTAGTGCATTTTATTGCCATATTCAAATTCAGGTAAACGGCCTGAGGCGCTTAGCTGAGCAGCACGACGTAATCAGCGGGTCAGATGCCATTCAGTGGCAATATATTGGAGGAAAACTGGGCAACTACCAGCGGAACGGAGATGGATTGAGAGCACAAAAACCACTCTAAAGGAGTTTCCGTTTCGGGGTGAACTGGCCCCCACTCTAAAGCAGTGTCCGTTTCGGGGTGAACTGGCCCCCACTCTAAAGGAGTTTCCGGTTCGGGGTGAACTGGCCCCCACTCTAAAGCAGTGTCCGGTTCGGGGTGAACTTGCCCCCACTCTAAAGCAGTGTCCGTTTCGGGGGGTGAGCTGGCCCTTTAATAATGTGAAGACTGCACAGTAGATGTGGCAGGACATGAAGTTTGATGTGTAGGAGAGTTTTACACAATGCTGTTTTATTCCCTTATTTTGGGCGGGTAATGTGACCCCCCCATGGGAGTGGGGCCTCCCGTTACGGCCTTAAGGACTTTTCATTGATGCCGGGAGTTCAGTTACAGGACGGGCATCGGTTGCGGCTCCTGTCATTTGGCTGTTTTGACACAGTCTGCCACCTTCAGCATGCTGCACATCCCCTCTGTACGCAGTGTTACGGATTAGGCCTCAGTACCAGCATTAACTATATTACCCTGTTTATTTATGGATAAATAAATATACATTATCCTATTAAGGTGTCGCTGGCCATCCTGTCCTTAGTGTGTTTCCCCCCTCCCCCGTCTGCCGCATGGCTCTATGGGCTGAGTGTGCCCCCATAAACCTTGTAGTCGTGAGTTTGAGGCCAGCTGCCTCTGTTTTTGTATTTATTGGATTTTGTTCCCCAGTGTTTCCTTTGTATTACTTTTCTTGTTCCTAGTCTGTACTTTGTGTTCTGTTTTGGTTTTTGCTTTGTGCCCTTGGTTATGTATTACTTGTCTTTGTTATATTCTTCTGTTTCATAGCTTCCCTGTTGGTCTCTTGGTTCCTTGATTAAGTTTTTTTGACCCCCCTGTTTCCCGGTGTATCATGATTACTCTACCTGAGTGTCCTGCACCCTCTCTGATTGTTTTTTTCATGTCTCCTGCTTCGTTAACCCGTTTGGTTTGTGTATTTATATTTCTGCCTTAGTTCAGTTCCTCACTTGTTCATTGCGTCAGAATGTTAGCTGTTACTCTGTTCTGTAGTATAAGTTTGTGCTTTGTTCCCTTGCTTGTTCCTGCTCCCT